TAACACTTGTAGCTTCTTCAGAAATAGGCTGGCTGCCAAGAGACATAAATCGGAATTTTTGGTTTAACTAGCACAGAAATCCCTCTTTTAATGCCTCTTTGCCTTCATCCCTGATTCTATGAAACATTACTTTAAAAGGCTCTGCTGGTATGAAACACAGACTAATGCTCTATTTTTTTGTAGCACCTTGGCTTAATATGTCCTTCTGAATGCCAAGTCCTTCCCTCCTTTTGGGGGGGCAGTCATCCTCACTACAGTCACAAACTGTAATGTCACTGTGAAGCAGCACAACACCTGATATGGTCTGTGAGCTGGTTTTGTAAATACTATCCAGGGGATTCAACATTGGCCAGTGTCATAAAGAGGAAATGAAATAAGTCTCCATGCTGTGAGCCATTATACACCACAAGAGGTTAGGACCATAATACGCATCACAAGACCCCACAGCTCCGGTGGGGGAGTGGAAACAAAGATTTCTTTTCTTCACAAGTGTAGACACAAGGCACAATATGCACCAGATCTGGGACATTGTTGCAAGACGCATTCAAAATCGAAACTCTAAAGAGACACCGGTCTAGTACTCACTGCACACTCAGTTACAATGGCTCTTAGTTCAGAGCGTCAGCCTCACCAGCCTGTAAATCACTGACTTAATGTGTAAAACCCCTCAAGGCTCAACATAAATACATAGGTAGTGTCTTTTTTTGACTGAAAAGATAAATGAATGAATGCTGGGAGCCTACTGGATCCTCTGAATAAAAGGAGTGAGTACATCTGGTGGTAAGTGGTAGGTACCGTACACTGACCACACTCTCAAGTTATTTAAACACCTCACGTGAGAAGATGGAATACAAAGACTTAGACTGTAATCCTTACAGAAAAGGTAAGCAACCTCTTCTTGAGCTCTGCACTGGGAAAACAGTGCAAGACTGTAGAAAGAATGCGATTCGTAAGAACAAACAACAACCTGGAGCTTAGAGAATCATGAAGGAACATTTTTAATGCAGGAATCAGAGCCTGCTTTTAAACTATGAGAGCATGTGAGTTTGTACCTGACTGTGGCTTTCTGAGGTGGTGCTCTTTCCAGGCTCAAAGTCGAATATGCTCTTTGGTTGAGCGTGCTGCTTTCCTGGGTCTGACAGTCTATCTACATCCTCGCTCCTGAAATATAACACCCACACCCACACACACACAGACACACACCATGGACAGCAGTTTAATGGTGACTTCATTGTAAGTGCCTGTAACAACAAATCCAAACTTGTCCGTCCCACACATTTTTTCCCATACGCTCTTGGCTTTGTAGTTTTTGATGGTACAGCTATTCACATAAGACATCAGCAGCAGTCTGTATCTCATGTGAAAATTGCTGTAAATCAGTATTTATTAATTAAGATATAAACAAATACTAATTTATAAATAAGTATATGGAACTTAGATGTGCTTCATGCAATAAAAATATGTTAAAACTGATCTGATCTAAAACTTTAACCTGTTATAGATCTGGATGTGGTGCAGAAGCACAGTAACATTAATCTCAAGCATAAGTTCAAAATGAGAATTTGACTTTTTTTTTATACACATTTTTTCCATTTCCTGTCAGCATAATGTGAAGCCCCTCTATGAAAGCTCTTTTCCGCCACTTAAAAACATTTCTTTTTTGCTATCCATAAGTCTCAGAAATTTGAAAAGTTTTTCATCTCTATAGCTAATTTCTTTCCAACTTCATAGGTAGGAATGAGCACTTTAGTGGATTGCCTGCTTTCAGAAAAAGGTGGATGGCAATAAGCCATCTACTGCTCATCATTACTCGGACGGTCTGAGTCAGTTTACTTGACCTCTTGACCTGTTTGCAGTGTTTGTGCCTTTTTAGAACATTTTAAGTGAACGCACCTGGCATAATGTGACTTTCTGTGTGGTTGATTGTAACAATGTTGAGTTCTGGAAATGAGTGCATTTCTAGTATTATTGTATTTAATTGTTAACACTAATCAGCAAGCACCTGTGTTGGATATCCTGCTTTCGACCCTCTTCTGTCTAAGTTCATACTCTTAGGTCTAAAACATCCATCTTACACTGAATATAAAAGCTTGATTAAATTTCTCAAAGTTGCAAACGTTTGTTATTCTCAGTGCTCCTGTCTTTTTTCATGTTGGGATATGAAAAGTCATCCCGTGACCACAAAGGAGTTATCTCAAATCTCACCAGTCTGGTAGAGCTCCATGAGGTGTTAGTCTGAAGAGGTTCTTGTCTGCTTCATTACCTTCTTCTGTGTTGGCAGACAACTGCATCCCTGCAGATCAGTGCACATCAGCCTTAAGTAAAAACTGATTACATAACCGAACAAGTCAACGATGTGGAATTTGGGGAATTTCCTTACTTTCAGCTGACCACTTCTCTGAAGGCTCCAGCTCAGGTTCTGGTGAACAAGGAAATTATTTCTTAGACTAAGTGATTAGGAATGTCACACCAACATATTTCTTTTATGTGCTTGTTTAAGAATTACTTGCAGCTCACTTGCAGTGTTTTGTTGTTCTTTACTAATTTAAGACTTATAAGTAAATGTTTCACACATAAAAAGTAGATCTCATTTAAATTAAAGCAACTAAACATTCTACTAGTGTACTAAAGAGCCCATTATGTGCTGTATATGTTCTGTACATAAAGCTTTAATCTACACAAGCAGCTGTCCAATTATAGAAGTGGAAGGCTTTAATAGAAAAGAGTCAATAAGCATAAAGTAAAGGATGCAGATGTTCCAGTGTTTTCATTCTTAAACTATATCTCATGCGTTGAGATACGGATGAGATACTGATAGCTGGGACTCAGTGGTTTCATTTTGTAATACTGTTAGATAAAGCAAAGCACCTGCTTGTCTAAACCAAAATACTTGCAAGGATCCACTCGAGTGCTGTGAGGGAACTTTTTACTGTGCGCACAGGGAATGTTTTTCTATTATGAAACCTCTAATAGACTGCAAATAACCAGCCTGATCTAGGAGGGGCTGAGATAAGAAGCTGGATTATTGTCAAAGCTAATAAACAGAACAGACATAAGACCTTAGAGCTCTTTCATCATGCCTTTTTCTGCCCCCGCAGTAATCTGTTTGCTGGATCACCTCAGCAGTACCTGACACGGACACCGAGAGGAATTCACACTGGAGCTGGGTATGTGAGGGAGAGGGGGGAGTGTCCTTACCTTCTGGCTTCTTGTGAATCTGCCTGAACATGCTCTTGTACCAGTCTTTGGGTTTGTTCACACTCTGGTATTGAAAGAAAGAGGAGGCGCAGAAAGTCAAAGGATTTGGCTAAAAACAACAACACTTCTTATGTAACTAGCATTGTAGAATTAAAGCAGTGCTAGCTCTGGCTTACTGATCTTGAAGCAATGGGCATCCCAGTCTCATCCACTGGGCCAATTCCTGAGAACTTGATGAGCCTTTCCTCCCTGGTGGGGCCCGTGCTGCGTGGTAACGTGGCAGAGCCCCGAAGGCCGTTGGACAGTCCGCCTAAGTTGTCACAGTAACAACATTTCCTTTATTGTGCTGTTTCACTTAATTACACAGGAATTTGTCTGCTTATAAATCCTCCTACATCATATGAAACCCATAGATCAAGTTAAGGGTATTACACACCGGCTGATTTTTCAACCAAATTTAACATTTTATTCTTCACCTGCTTTCATTTATTACCATATAAATCACAGTGACTTGATTCATCTTTGTTTTCAGCACATGTGGTAACTCTTTTTCTTGTTATTCACATTTTAAATCCTTCCAGGTTACAAATTCTTCCCTTTTCAAACTACAACTTCTTTACTTTAATTTTGTAATCTTACTATTTGACTGCGAGGGTCCATAGTATGATCCAAAGCTGAGAGTTGCTGGGCTCACCCCATTCAGTTCTGACACCTTGAAAAGGACAGAGATGTAGAAATCAGCCCTGTGCCAAACGTCAGAGCGTTATGTAGCTCAAACCTGCAGGACTGATGATTTCGAAACATTGATGTATATATAGCATGTGATGCTTTGTTTTTCCACAAGGAGGAGCACTTGCATCCTGAATACCGCTCCCTCAGCCTCAGAATTGTTAGATACCTTCATTTCTCCAGATGGCAGCCTTGCAGAATGGAAGGGGCTCAGGGGAGGAGTGGGTAGTCCAGGAGAGATGATCACTTTGAGGGTCAGATCCGGAGAAGTTATTAGTTGCTGATCTGAAGAAACTCCAGGTTTCCCGGAGTAGATTATCCGGGTGCCATCTGGATCAGCAACCACTTCCACGCTTTGCTAAAACAGAGAGGAAATGAAAAATATGGATGAACGAAAACAGTGTGTGAACTTTGCTCCTGTCATGTTCTCCTATTGACGCTGAGTAAACAGCACTCGCTTATATAAGGTCATGTGAACTTGTTGGCGGTCAAGCTATTCTCTAGAGAATAACTGGCCTGAGCAGAAGAGCTTCTGATGAAAAGACCCCAAATTTATTTAAAGCACCAGCAGCGGAAAAGTCGTATTGCACCCACTTTGTCGTCTCTCTTGCTCCAGCTGCAGAAAGGCAGCACTGAAACAGGAGAGGGTCATTATGAGCCCATTAACTCCCCATTCACCAGGTCTCCCTGTTCTTGAGCCGGGGGTGGAGTCAGGGCAGAGAGGTTGGGAAGGGGTCGAGGATGTCAACCAAAACTCCAGCAGTGGCAGCAATTGTCTTACGGTCTCCATAGTGATACCCCAGACCATGCTGGATCCTCTGTTCCAACCCTGTTTATCAGGTGCTTTGGTCCTTCATCCTAGGGGTCATGGGAAATCCCCTTTGCCTCATGGTTGAACTCTTATCTGCACCAATGGCATGGTGACTGTGACACTACACTGGACTGATCTGCGTCACACTAATGAGTGTTTCTCCCGCCTGTTCATATTTGCTTATTCAAGACAGCTGCATTTGCTAAACAGTTGAAAATGTCAATATTTAGCATAGCTGCAATTGACTTTACCTGCGACTGCATTAGATCTGTTGTGGTTCTTGTGTGACAGATATCAAGTTCTTGTGCACGGCATCAAAAGCATCTGCAGAGACACAAATTCATAAAAAAATCAATAAGAAACCAAAGCTTTAAAATTCTCTGGAGTACAAAGTATAGTAATTGTATCCGGATTAAAATGGAATAAAAGGAGAAAATAGCATAGTACATTAAACCTGTACTTTAGTAAAGTACTTCATAAATTGTGTTCCTACTTATCCTATCCATGCTCTCAACTCATCCTTGTGTTGTAAGAGTAACAGTATTTTTGTCCAATGACAAATGCCCCCTCCTGACACGCCCCTGACAGCACCTATCCAGCTGCCTTCTTTTATTCAAATGTGACTTTTAATGTTTCTGTGTAAGGTAAAGTGTTAAATAAGAAGTAACGTTAAATTCTGATTCATCTTCACAGAAATGGCTCATAACAACAGTTCTGATGTATGCCAAAAATTGTGATTTCTTTCTTTTAAAAACTAACTTTAAATAGATTTGGTTTTCATATCCTTCATGGATCATATTTCTGTTTTTGCTAGAAGTGTCCCATCAGTGTATCTGTGAGAATCCATAGATCGAAGGATATTATTGTTTACTTTTTTATTTCAGGTGATGTCCCCCAATTATCTCCTTGTTGGTCATGTCTTGTGTGGTGTAGCACAAAGCTCCCCAGTCATAAGTTCATATTTTACATCTAGGCAGACTGTCCAGCTGTTCCATTATCCCATCCCACTAGCTTTCCAAAAAGGGAAAATGAACGTCACCCACTTTTTCCCACTACTAAGGAAAAACCCACCCAAACACAATGAGTGTGACTCACACGTCTGCCTCACTCTTCCCAGTGTCGTAATAAGCTGGACTTGAAGCAGCTAGATGATGGGAAAGGACCAGCTACTGAAAGCAGACACCAGTTTCAAATCAGCTGCACCTCAGACTAACAGATTGTGCCTGCTGTCTCAACATCAGAGGCAGGCTGAGAATAAGAGGAAGGCTATTTCTGCTCCTGAATGAGACAGACTCCTATAGAGATTAAATGGTCCGCATCATGTACGTATGCATACCACACCTTCTCTTCAGCACTAAATTCCTGAAACCCAAACTATTACAAAGGCAGTTTGAAACAGCCCCCTACACCCATGAAAACACAGAAAATAGTAGTAACTTTTGAAGGAAACAATAAGGCTAATTTAAGGATAGTTTGCAGTCCAAAGCTATGTCTTTGAAGCATGCCAAGAAAGTCGTGACCAAGCACAAACCAGGCTACTACAGGCTGAAAGCTGCCCAGCACAATTTGCACTAATGAGTTTTCCATGTGGCGTTTGCAGCTGAACATTAGTCTATAATCATTGTGGTAAAGACCAAGAAATATAAGCACTCTGCGTCTCTGTGCACAAGGGAAAGAGACAGCGCAGAGTCCGTGCTCTGATATAGCAAATGTTCCCGTTTCCAGACAACAATGTCACTCATCTGAGTCATCATCCCTCAATTACCCCAGTTACATAACACAAAATAGATGGGAACCGGAGGTTTGTGCCTTCAACAATACCATTAATGCTCAAGCATGACCGATGACCTATCATTGCCCAAAGCAATCACAACAAAATTATTATCCATCCTACGGCAGGAAACACTACAAACAAGCTCCGTACATGAAGTCTCATTTACAGCGTGTTTGACACGCTGCTCTGTGTTTACATCTGGTCTCCCTGGCTCTATAAAGCCTCTCACTGTAAGGGGCTGTGCCACTGATGAATAATAGATGAGTAATTTTCAGCAGAACTTGGGAAGACGAAACAGTTTTCCTGCCACTGCTGCCATTTCAGTTTCCACATAAAGTAGTCAGTGACAGCTGCATTTTGTCATATGTCTTTGTAGTCTCCTTAAGATAGCTCAGCATTATCTCTTCTAGCCTCCAAATATCTGCAAACATCAAAGAATTCCCCGAAGACGTTACACTCTTACAGTTGTAACTCATTTTAAAGAGTACTTGTTGTTGCCAAATTCTCTAATAATTAGGCCAGTGTAGCTACTTTTGGCTGCTTCCTTATTCACAAGGGGTCACAACAGCAGGCAACTCTGCATGTTTTATTTGGTAGGGCTTTACTCTGGATACCCTTGCTGACACAGCCCCTAAAGGCGTTTGTGTCTCCTTAAGGGATCAAACCAGCTCAGTGTATGTACCTATCCCTGTTAGCCAAAGGCTCAGGCTTCAGACTGCGTTTTCTCATTCACACTTTCATGTGAATGAGAGTGGTTATCTTTAACATGGTCTTGAGGCATACAGCTCTGGCTGTCAGTATAGCAGCAAACTAACTTTCAAGGGTGGCCTCAAAGGGAGGGTGGCTCTGAACCGTTGGGTGGGTACACTTAAATGGCCAGTATAACACAAATATGGAATATTCTGAACTGAATCAAGCAGTGCTATACTAGTAGAGAGGCATAATAAGGTCTCCCTCTGTTCAGAAGCCTAAGAGCTAAAATATCCTACTTCAGCGAAGTAGCTTCCTGATGAGTAAGCTCATGTCATAATAGTGACTCTCATTCCTCTGGAGAGCAAAATCCAACCCAGAAATTCTCCAGCACTGCATGCATTCCCTGTTTGACAGCACCAAACACAATCCTACCTAATAAGGAAAACTCTGAGTTGATATGTAGCAAGAAAACCGCTGTTCAGATGTCTGGCTACATTTAATCTGAACGCCCAGTTCATTCTTATGTAATTACTGAGACACAACATAGGAGGCTGCTACAAGCTTTCAAAGGCAGACCTGTGATGCTGTCATGGTGAAATTGCATCAGTGCCATAGCAGACGTATTTACAAGTAAAGCCCCCTGCTAGGTGAGAGGTCCTTTATCACCCCTAGATCAGGTTGGGGGTGGAAGAAAAACAGAGCCATAAAAGGCCCATGTGCACTTGAGATGAAAGGAGGATGCCCCGCTCTAGACATGATTTCACAACACCAGAATTTTATACTTCCAGCTTGCTGAAAATACTTCTTATTTTCTCTTGCTTTCCATTCAGTAAAGAAGAGGGTAACTGAGGACAGGCTGAATTAGAATCGGGGGATTTTCATATGAAATTCTCTGAATCGATCCCAAGGACACTCATCCGGCGTCTCAAAGAATTGAGCCACATATTCGATTGAAAAAACTGACGTCAACTTAGTTTTATCAGCAATATCAAATTAAACATTTGTATCACAATTAACTTTAAAAAGTGACTTTAGTGAAGCTGTAAGATTACTTCTCCTTTTAGTCCAAAGGGAGTTGATGACAAACCAAGCTATTATCAGAAGTTGTTGAGGCAGAGCAGAACCAGTCAGCAGCTACGAGGTCAGTGAACTTCACCACACCCCTGTGATTCCTCTGAGTCACAAAAGGAGGTTTCCACAGCTGTTAATAACATTTCTAATATAGTAGCAGTTTTGCAGACTACAAAAAAAATGTAAACCCATTTCAAAGATCACATAGCTCTCACTAATCACACCAGCTGATGGCAAGAAGTCAACCTTTTCCTAAATCTCTCTATCTTCCATAGAGAGCTGCAGCCAGGTCTTTTTGCGAACACTCTGACCTATGATGACCTCCATCTGCACTGCACAAAGAGAGAGCACGTCCTATATTGTTCTCAGTGGGAGCAAGTCTGTCAAGGTGGCCGCACATACTCTGATGAATAACTGCGGCAGTGCTGACCCATGAACTTGTGCGATTGCTACTGGGAAAGTCGTGATTTGATGGTTGTTTTGTTTTTTTGCAAATTAGGAAAGATGGTCTTAAAAGAAAGCAAAACACTGCCATGTGAATTGATCACCATTTATGAGCCCCCAAGTCTTTTGTGCAGCACAGTAAGCAGAAGCAAAAGAGTTAATCATTTACTCCTTAAGAGTGAACTGCTGCAAAGAGTCTGATTAAAAGTTCTAAAAGCTGTGTAAGAAAACCGGCTACAACGTGTCGACTTAAACACTCTTAGAATTCCATAAAATCCTTAAAATGTGCAAAAAGATTCTAATCATGTATAGGGGTGTGGATATTGTTTTAACCTGCTCTGAAGGGTAAAGTCTTATCACCTCATCTGCACGTACACAGTGTTACTGCTGCCCAGTAAGTTACATAAGAGCGCCGTAAAAACCAACAGAATGCTGCCTTAAAAAGTGGTGAGATGGTAATTACAAGCACATTTGTCGAGTAAATAAAACAGGCTTTTATTTCCAAACACATAAAGTGAGTCACTCTGCAGCTATGCGAGAGGTCAGCTCTGCGAGGTCGATGGCACAACATTGCTTCCCGTGTGCAGCATCGCAGATGTGCCGACGCAGCCCATACAAGGTCCTGCGGCCGCAAGTTTATGATATGCAGTTATTGAGGGGATACACACATTTATCAGGAGGGAAGTATTTCACCTCCTTGTATGGTGCTCGTCCAGTCTGAGCAGCAGGAGGAGTCTGTGTACTTCTTGTCAATGGAGAGGCGATGCGTTCCCAGGAGAAGCCCAAAGGCAGTAAATCACAGCCAGAGTAGGTTCCGTTTTATCAGATTTGCTTTTACAAAAAAAAAAGCATGCTTCACATCATTTAAAGTGATTCCTTATTTGAGCTTGTGTTCGATACACCAGACAAAGCATGAGAAAATACAAAGCTCAGAGCAGAGTAACTGCAGAAAAATGTCACAAATCCTCATGCCTGTCATCTTGCATCTTCAAAGCTGAGTGCAGCCAGTGGTTATGAGTGCTGGCAGCTAGACCCTCAGTAATATTACAAAGGGAGTCAAAGCCAACTGTGGAAATTACCCCGACAGTGATGCCTGGACGGTCCTGGGGCCATTAAGCCTGATATCTGCTGCAAGATGGGAAAGTAATCCTGACAGAACTAATTATTTCCTCTCAGCTCACCTGACAGTTGCCAGTGTACACTTACCCACTGGGCAAAGCAACAAGGGATGACATGTTGGGAAACACTATCCCCAATGCCAGGTCTCTCTCTCTCTGCTATACTCACAGCCAGAGCTCTCTCTTACTCTCACTCTCTCCCTCAGTGCTCCAGCTGTGACTCC